GGAAATATGATGTTCCTGTATTGAGCAGTGAGCACAGCAAGGCATTTCCTGATGCTCTTGGTGAGTTCTCACATTGTGAGAAAAATGTCCTGAGCAAAAATTGTCAAATTTTTGTGCAAAACTTGCACAATTGCATCAAATTAGGCCTCCTGCTGCTTTATCTACAGATTCAACACAGTACAGTTCTTCTTAGCAGTTAGTCCTGCTGTGCATGTATGTGTGTTACGTGTGCTTTCCTTTTCAGAGGAAGGTTTATGCAAACTACCTGAGGGAAAATGAAGAGCTCTTTGTTTCACTCTTAGCTGGAGGTGAGGGAACTCACAGGGCTTTAAAATTCCTCTTTAAGGTTTCTGGTTCTGTGAAGACAGTGAGGAATCTAGCACTTATTTTTCCATCTTTACCAGAGAGAGAGCATATCCTGTATGAATTAATTTAATCCTCTGAGGGAACCCTATGCAGATACTTCCTTATAGTGGAAGAAGACATTCATAATGTGGGGAATCGCACACTTGAATGCTTCCCCACAGGGAAATGGAAGCTTCCTACATCCTGAAAACAAGTACAGTGGTGCCTCGACTTGTGACCATAATCCATTCCAGAAGAGGGATGTAACTCGAAATGGTCACCATTTCCCACTGAAATGCACTGGAACATGATCAATCCGTTCCAGAAGGAAAAAAAAAATACCCCCCAAGAAATAAAAATAAAACACTGCAAGCCCCATAGGAATGTACTGGGGCTGCAAAAAACAAAACAAAACACCAACGACCAAATATAAACAATGGAGCAAGCCCCATCGGAAGGTGTTGGGGCTGCAAAAAAAAAAATCACCAAGAAATCAAACAACATAGCACAGAAACATAACCCCCCCAGCCCAAAACCACCCTGAAAAACCCACGCAGAACAGGCAGTTTTTGAAAAGCAGAAAGCAGCACCTTACCTTACCAGGAAATCCCAAGCCTCCCTGCAAACAAACACAATCTCACTCAGAAACAGAAGCCAGGCAGTCCCAAGCCTCCTCCAACACATTCACTGTAATTGTTGGGGCGAAAAAGCTACAAAGAAGCAGCCTCTTTGCCTACCAACGGTTACAAATTTGAATTTCCCCCTTTCCCCCCTGTCTTTTTGTGTTCAAAACTGGAAGCTCCAGCTGCAAGTCGAAGCAAAATTTTGCGACCAGAGCTGGTCATAACTCGAAATGGTCATAAGTTGGGTCGTTCGTAAGTCAAGGCACCACTGTACTTAAGAGGAAAGTGAAGGCAAGAACTCTTACTGCTTCTTTGTTTCTCACAAGCAATTTTCTTACATGTAGCAGATGTCTGGAATGTAATTCTTATCTGTAGTTTGAACAGTACCACTTCAGAAAGAACTATACCACACTAAGCTCTGCCAGTTTGGCTGTGTCTTATTTTCTGTCTTGTGAGTCTTAGTGTTCCTCCTGTTTAGCTCTTAATGAACTATGCTGAGTTTGATGCAAAGAAGAGGAATACTATTTTTCAGTATACAACATTTCTAGTCAAAGTCGATATTAGTTATGTGAGAACTTGATCTATGGCTTGTAGGCAGCTTTAGTCAAGTTTAGCATTGAGTTATTGAAATCAATAGGACTTCAAGTGAGAAATTACTGTTTTCCATTTGAATTCAGCAGATGTACTTTAACATTCATTTACATATTTATTAGTTACACTGATATTTCATCTTTCTTTCAATGAGCTCAAGGTGGTGCATATACTTTCCTCTCTCATACTTTATTCTCACAGCAGCTCTGAGACTGGCCAGCCCAAGGACATCTAGTGAGTTCCATGCCTCAGGAAGGGTTCCCAAGTCCCAGACAATTTCCTGTGCACTATGTTACACTGGATTACTGTACTACACTGGTGTTCCAGCATGGATCTAGTTCATTGTCACATGAAATAAAAACAAGTGAAATGAAATAAAGCAAAATAGAATAAAATATTACTCTACTTGAATACCCAAAGATTTATTGAGATATGATTACATTGCTCAAAGGTTAAAGTTTTCATGCTAGCAAATATTTCAGAGACCAAAGAATATCTTAATGCTTTCAAAGACCATGTCAAATACAAATAATGCTTCTATTACTAATGAAAATGAAAGATTTCATCATTACATATACAAAAGCCAGATGCGGATACATTTGAACAACGTCGTTGACAACTCAATTTTATAGGGATGAGTAGTTTTGCAGGAAGCACATGCAGTGATAATACAAATGTAAAGAGAAGGCAAAGACACAACAGAAATTAATAATGGGGTGGCCTTGTAACTCACAACTGCCGTAGATCCATTTGAATCAGTGGAATTTATAGAGGAGTTGACTCACCAAATCCCCACTGATGCAATGGACCCACTCTTCCTACACTAAGTTACAAGATTTCAGCCACTCTGTTATGTGGATGGAGACACTGGATGACGCAAATTGTAGAAATATTCCTAATTTTCCTGGGAGGTCATTCTAACTGACACAACTGGAACCTATTCAGATGTATTATGTATACAAAGCTCACAGGGCAAGGGAACACCTATAGACTTTCCCTTTTACCATCATTCTATTATAATTCTGCACACAAAGACCAATAAGTCTGATTAAGGTGAGACTTTGCCACTCTTGGGAATTCTCCATATGAGCCAGAATCTTGGAAAATTAGGATTCCAGCTCATGCGAAGAATAGTCATAGCTAACAAAGGATCTCCAGACTCCTTACCATCAGTGCAAAATAAAGTGATGAAACCAGGGTCAGAATTGAGTGGAGTTGCAGTACTCCCTTCTTCACGTGAGTTTTCTGCACTGATAATATTATTTGCACATCTTGTGAGATGGTGAACTAGTGCCTTAAAGTTGTGCCTCTTCATGTACACTGCCTGCTAACAACCTCCATGGTCCATTATATCTTTGTCACTTCAGGTTTGCTCAGAGTTATACACTGGGCCCTACTCATTTTACCATCACAAGAATCCAAAGGTATAAGTTTGGTTGAAGGGGGAGATGGTGAGATCTGCAATGTCACCCAAGGAGCTTTATGTCTGAATGGGGATTTGAACCTGGCCCAAGTATGATGCTTTATCCAGCATACTACATTAGCAAATGCGCCAAACACAACAGCGGTCGCTTCTACCCTTCTTCTTTCACCCCTTGTGACAATTGCTGTGGTGCAAAGGAAAGGAAGTATGTTTGGTTCACAAGGCAATAGCACCCCTGGAAACACTCCGGTACATTACATCCTAAAGATTTTCAATATGCCAAGCAGAAACAAGTAACTCTGACAGTTTGTCTCCCATACTACATTTTTTTTAAAAAAATCTCAGTTTCTTTCAGTCCCAAAGATGTGGTTGGAAAGCTTTGCTAAATAAAAATGATTGTAACTCAAATTCTTGCCCATTTGTGCCCATGCCTCCCCAAATTCATATCCCCAGAAGAAAGATCTGCCTGCCATAGATGAAGATAAAGAGCCTTTCAGAAAAAAAAGAGGGTGGCAACCCTAAATCCGCACCATAAATCTGGTTGAATACATCATAATTTGGAAGTGGCTTTTAAAGAGTTAAGCCCTCAAAATCCTGGATGAAAAGATGTATTGATGTAGTTTCTCTCATATTCTGGTTCCCTCCCTTCTTTTTAATCAAGGTCTTTCCACCTGTATTTAGAGAAATCTAATGTTAATTGTTGTGAAAAATGAATAAAAAAATAAAATTCTCACCATTCCCAATAGCACCCACATTTACTCTCTCTTACATGTCTCATTAGAGTTATTAGGAACATGAATAATGAATCCCTTCACATTTCACTCTTTGGCCTTGGGAAAGCTGCAGTTACCCTCCTAAGCAATTGCGTTTCCAGAGAATAAATTTCAGATTTGCATGTTCAGATGGGACTATAATGGGCCTTAGAAGGTATCAAGCCTTGATCCTGGGTTCATATCATAAATGTTCATCCTTTTCTTTTTTAAAAATGTGGAACAACATGGGGATTTTCTATGTAGAACAGCTCTATCATCTGTTTTAGAAAAGATGAGAATGTGTTCCTCTCTTTAGCCAGACATCCCCCTGTCTATAGCTATAAACTAAAGATACACATGTGTTTATAATTTGTTTGGAGTAGCTCAGGACCCAGTGATGGTCAGAGTGACAAATAAAAAATAAATAAACAAAAGCCATATCACTTAAACACCACCTGTTTATTTATCTGTTTCCAAGAATAGTTAGCAAAATTTACACAGCTATAGAGAACAACACACACACACACACACACACACACACACACACACACACACACACACACACACACACACACACACACACACACACACCCCCCTTAGACTTGGTGCTTGACAGCCTGCAAGAAAACATGGTGAACATTCTAATCTTAAACTCCATCTGTTCATTACAATGAGACAGAAATGTTTTTTTATACAATACACACATAGACACATTCACCCAGTCCTATATGCCAGAGAGCTTTACATTTGTGGTTTTCAAACAAGAACTTCTAGTATCACGATAAACGACTTCCAGAAACCCTTTGGAAACACTTGACGTAGTTCCTTGGTTCCTAGTCTGGATTTTATTCTATTTTATTTATCTCACAGAAAACATACTGATAGATTTCTTTCTCAAGACAATAGGATCCGAGATATTGTTTTGAACAGGGAGGGAAGTGATATTGTCTTTGTCATGCTATTGTTAATATGAAACATAGTGTTACATAACAGCACTGATGTTAGGCATCCTTTATCAATGTGTTTGGAATTATGGGGTAAGTGTGACCAAATTATTAGTTTGATAATTCCCCCCCAACAATAAGACAGTAGATAACCATTGCTAACCTCAATTACAGACAAGATTTGTGGAGACTTATTCATATGTGCCAGGAGATTTTACTCTGTAATAACAATGCATATATTTATAGTGTTCTCTCTCTCTCTCTCTCCCCTCCCCTCCCTCCGTCCATCCCCCCCTCTCTCTCATTTTAAACTCCCCTGAAGCTACATACTGACCAAGATAAAGGAGATGGAAATTTAAAATACATATTAACAGGAGATGGGGCTGGCAGCCTATTCATTATAGATGAAAATACAGGAGATATTCATGCAGCAAAAAGGCTGGACAGAGAAGAGAAGTCTTTATATGTGCTACGTGCCAAGGCTATAGACCGAAAGACTGGTAGACAAGTGGAGCCAGAATCAGAATTTATCATTAAAATCCATGATATCAATGACAATGAGCCTAAATTTACTAAGGACATTTATACCGCCAGTGTTCCTGAAAAGTCTGCAGTTGGTAAGTATATTTTATTATCATATATAATTGGGGGGGGGGGAGAATTGAACATTTCTCAGAAATGATCCAGAGGATATTCATAATATTTTAGCAACACAAAAGACTTCTTTAAATATCATCTTAGTAGCTCCCATTTGGGAGCAATATCTACTTTTTTTCACCCCATTGGTCACTATATGGCTTTCATGAAACCAACAGCAGTCATAGAAACTTCTCATATACAATATGATTTGAACAATTATTTTTGTTTTATATGGAATGACTCAAAACAATGCTTAGCAAGGTCATAGTTTTGCATGGTCAGCAATGGCCATTTTGTTGACACCGTTGTACTTTTGCAACCAAACTGCTGGAACAGGAAAAGGTTGGGTTTTGTTCATAAGGTGTGGGGTATCTTAAGACGTTGTTATACAAAAAGTTGGATATAAGTGGTAATTTATAGTCGTTATTCAGGCAGGAATTCAAGGTGATTAGAAGAAGTGTAGATCAAAGATACAACTGCCCATGCCTGTTGCAAACAAATATGCATGGTAAATCTAACATTTCTGTTCTGCTTACTCTGATATCTGCCTGAAGTCTTATGAACTTGTTTCCCCATTGTATTGTCTTCCACTCTCTCAAATAAATCTCCTTCTTTCACCCCCCATGCTTGATTTTAACCATGACTTAGGATTACATTTGTTAACATTAAATAGAATTATTTTAACCTTAGTTTGCCACCTATGCTCTTAAAAAAATGTAAACCGTAGATTGGCAACACTGATTACAGTTAACCATGAGGAATGTCAATATATCTTCAAGAGTGCAGTGTAGTTAAAGTCAAATAGAGAATGGAAGGGGTGAGGGGAAAGAGCAAGATGGAAGGATAATGGTTTGGAAAACTGGTGATGGTATGATGGAGGCATTGTTATGCATCTTACGATAACTTTGCTTCAGGAGATCTGGTTTTGAAGCAATACAAACCTTTACAAACACTTAACCACCCAGAGTAGACCCATTCTACATGGGTGGTATATAGATCGAACAAACAAAGAAACAAATAAAATGATAGAGAATATGCACAGTACAAACAACCAGGCCTTCCTTCCACTCTCCAAGAAACCATTACCCTCTAAATCTGTATGTGAAATGCAGGTTTTTAGGCTGGGAGACAAGGGCCCAAATCCTGATGCTCAGCAAAGAATATCTCAGCAGAGGAGGCCCATCAATGAGGATTTAGTGAGCCCATTCAAATGGGCCTACTCCTAACAGCAACTTCCTATGCTAAAACAAGTCTCAGTTAGAGCAGGCCGATGAAGTGGAACTTATGAAGAAGCTGATTCACCAAAACACCATTGATGCAATGGGCCTAGTGTACTGCAACTTACTATGCAAAGCAACTGGAATTGGGCCAATGTGAAAGAAATGAGCATGGCAGTAGAGCAACTGCTATCCTAATGATGCACAAGATGCCAAAATGTCAAATATTTACTATTATTATATTTTTTCCTATCTTAACTGTCTTGAGATTCTATGTATTTTCACTTTGGTGGAAGGAGAGTTTTTATTGTATCTGGTGGAAAAATATATACATTTATGTTTTTATTTTATTTCTACCCCACCTCTTTTCTTGTAAAGATATTCAAGCAGATTACAAATGGTTTAAAGTTCTTAGTCTAGCCTTGCATACATGTCCGTGGCAAATGAACATGATGGGGAAAGGTGTGCAATGTGTAAAAAAAATGATGTAATGCATATATTTTAATGTATGGTAAATATATTATTATGCTCTTCATTTAAAATATTTATAGCCCACCCTATATCACAAGATCTTAGGGCAGGTTGCAGAGCTGTATAAAACAATTTACAAAGTGCATGAGTATAAAATGTAGCATCTTTAAAGCAGTTTGAATAGTTTAAAATGCAGAAAATGAAAACATTGACACTTTAAAACCATTGCATTAAAATCCACTCAAGCCAAGATCCTCGGCTCCCCAAGGCTGTAATTAAAAAAAACATGTTTTGACTTGGCACCGAAATGATGCCAGTGCTGGCAGCAGTTGAGCCTCCAAGAGGAGGGTATTCCACAGTGAGGATGCTACAGCCACTAAAACACTTCTTTATTTCTTCCCATACTGAACCATTCTCAATGGTGGGGCAAGGAGGAGGGCCTTCCAAGCAGATCTTAGTGATCCATTTGAGATGGTACACTTTTGAGATAATACGTACATACTGAAGTGATTGTGTCAACAAAGTTGTCACATGTGCACAAAACTTTTAAACATGCATAAAGGCAACTGAGCAAATGCATCACACTTTGACTTCTTAAATTAGTATTTATGGGAATGACTAGGTAGTGGACATAGAAAAAGCAGTTTCAGCAAATCTCACCTGAATGTAGGCATGACACAATTTAGACAGCCACGGCTAAGCTAAATGACAATGCTTTAAAAAACAAATCAAAATAAATTTACACATCTAGATATGATGACCTTTCATTAAGGTTTCTGGAAATTATTTTACCTTTACTGAAACAGAAGATAAATTGTATATTCCATGATGAACCCAATTTCTGTTGAACAGGTTTTTAGGGCAGAATGGTAGGCATATGACCCTGGAGTAACTTTAGTGAGCTTCCTAAACCCTAATTTAATCCTGTGACCCAAGTTTTAAAATGGATGCTGCAAGCTGCCTTGGGCCCTTTGAGAGACAAAAGTGGAATGGAAGGAAGGAAGAAATGAAGGAAGGAAGGAACCCCTTGATTCAACAATAGTACTTTCTCTCTTTGTTGTTCTTGTTGTTTAGTTGTTAAGTCGTGTCCGACTTTTCGTGACCCCATGGACCAGAGCATGCCAGGCCCTCCTGTCTTCCACTGCCTCCCGGAGTTGGGTCAAATTCATGTTGGTAGCTTCAATGATACTGTCCAACCACCTTGTCCTCTGTCGTCCCCTTCCTCTCTTGCCTTCACACTTTCCTAACATCAGGGTCTTTTCCAGGGAGTCTTCTCTTCTCCTGAGATGGCCAAAGTATTGGAGCCTCAGCTTCAGGACCTGTCCTTCCAGTGAGCACTCAGGGTTGATTTCTTTAGAATGGATAGGTTTGTTCTTTTTGCAGTCCAGGGGACTCTCAAAAGTCTCCTCCAGCACCACAATTCAAAAAGCATCAATTCTTTGGCGGTCAGCCTTCTTTATGGTCCAGCTCTCACTTCCATACATCGCTACTAGAAAAACCATAGCTTTGACTAGGCGGACCTTTGTCGGCAAGGTGATGTCTCTGCGTTTTAAAATGCTGTCGAGGTTTGTCATTGCTGTCCTCCCAAGAAGAAGGCATCTTTTAATTTCATGGCTACTGTCACCATCTGCAGTGATCATGGTGTCCAAGAAAGTAAAGTCTGTCACTGCCTCCATCTCTTCCTCTTCTATTTGTCAGGAGGTAATGGGACCAGTGGCCATGATCATAGTTTGAGCTTCAGACCTTTTTTTAATGCTCTCCTCTTTCACCCTCATTAAGAGGTTCTTTAATGCCTCCTCACTTTCTGCCATCAGAGTGGCATCATCTGCATATCTGAGGTTCTTGATATTTCTTCTGGCAATCTTAATTCCAGTTTGGGATTCATCCAGTCCTGCCTTTCACTTAATGTATCCTGCATTTAAGTTAAATAGGCAGGGGACAATATACAGCCTTGTCGTACTCCTTTCCCAATTTTGAACCAATCAGTTGTTCCATAGCCAGTTCTAATGGTTGCTTCCTGTCCCATGTATAGATTTCTCAGGAGACAGATAAAGTGGTCAGGCACTCCCATTTCTTTAAGGACTTGCCATAGTTTGCTGTGGTCCACACAGTCAAAGGCTTTTGCGTAGTCAATGAAACAGAAATAGATGTTTTTCTGGAACTCTCTGACTTTCTACTTTCTGTCACTTCCCTATTTTGCAGCTGCTAAATGGGGAGCAACTTTAAGCTCTAGCCAACATGGCTAATGGCAAGAAATGAGGGGGGATGCAGTCCAACAACATCCCAAAGGCTACATATTCCCCACTCCTCTATTAAGACACATTAGAACTCCCCAATATTTAGAAATTTCTGAGGAAGAAATCTGGGCAGTGATAACTTCCATGAAATTTTATTTAAAGTAAAGAAATGGATGTATGCCAAGGAATAAAGGACAGTTCCTGCTCAGTTTGGCACATCAAGCTTATAAGCATATGTCTGCTGCACTCAGCATTTTCCTTTTCAAACAGGTGAAAATATGCAAGATCTGGAACCTATCCTTTAGGCCAGTGTTTTTCCTTCCTTGAGTCTCCAAATGTTTTAGATTCCAAAAATTAGACTTTAACTCCCAGAATCTCTGGCTGTTGGCAGTCATAGTTGGGACCCCTATGGTTTGAAGTCCACAACATTTGGAAAGCCACAGGTTGAGAACTGTTGATTTAGTTCATATGATTCCACTATTGTTTTTTTCATCAGCAACTAGTACTTGAAATTACACTGCTCCCAGATATGGATGATGCATTTAGCTACCAGGCAATTCATGTTTTTCACTAATGCTACACATTGTGTTGAAGCAATTTAGCACAATCCGAAGATCCTTCAGCAGGGCCCAGAATGGTCGTATGCCTTCAGTGTATGCATCAGGTAATTTTTGCCATTCATTTGCATTCCCTTTGTTACATGAAACCTAATATGTCATTTTGCTGATTATTTACCCAATATAAAGAGATGTTTTAGAAGTTAATAGACCTGTCAAGGAGGCACAGTGGGGAACTGAACTCCCAACCTCTGGCTCTGAGTCATTTTGTATCATCTGGAAACTTGGCAATAGGAACGATTACGTCTGACTCCAGATTATTTATAAAATTTAAAATCCCAATAGTATATGGTAAAATGTGTCACAGCATACTAAAGTAAATTGGGAAACCTTCTTATGCGTTAGAAAAAGATTAGGTTTTGAAAGAATAGCCACTAGATTCCTCATTCTTGTTAATTTAAGCCAGAGGTGCACAAAATGTGTCTTCAGGGCCATT